TCCCTATTTAATAAATAGTGCTGGGAAAACTGGCTAGTCATAGGTAGAAAGCTGAAACTGCATCCCTTCTTTAAGTCTTAAAAAAGGGCTAGACCGTAGAACCCAAGATAAGCTCAGTGCATATTTGGTAAGCCAGGGCCACTGGCAGAATGCAATCCACAATGCACACCTACATAGTTAATCTTGGTTCTATAATTCCAAATGAATTTTGTGAAGCTTGCCAAACAGATGTTATCTGCCTTTCTAGATGAAGCCAGCGATAAAGGCATGCTTCATTGTACCAATATGTTTATCCAAAGAAAACATAGTATAAAGCCTTCAATGAATCAAATGCATTAATAATTTTTGGGTTTTTTTTTTTTTTAAGGCAGAGTCTCACTCTGTCACCCAGGCTAGAGTGCAGTGGTGCGATCTCAGCTCACTGCAACCTCTGCCTCCTGGGTTCAATTGATTATCGCGCCCTAGCCTCATGAGTAGCTGGGATTACAGACGTGCACCAATTGCACGAATTTTTGTATTTTTAGTATAAACGAGGTTCCGCCATGTTGGCCAGGCTGGTCTCAAATTCCGGCCCCATTGACCCACCTGCCTTAGCCTCCCAAAGTGCTGGGATTACAGGAGTGAGCTACTGTGTCTGGACAATAATTGTTTTAATATGGCTTCCAAGGAGGGGAGAAAGAGAAAAACTTGTCCATAATCTTCTTATACATACTAATGATTAAAAGGGCATTACAAAGGCAAACACAAGAATATCTGTTAAGACTGAGTGGATGGGGCCGGGCGCAGTGGCTCACGTCTGTAATCCCAGCACTTTGGGAGGCTGATGCGGTTGGATCACCTGAGGTGAGGAGCTCGAGACCAGCCTGACCAACATGAAGAAACCCCGTCTCTACTCAAAATACAAAAATTAGCCAGGCATAGTGGTGCATGCCTGTAATCCCCAGCTACTCTGGAAGCTGAGGCAGGAGAATTGCTTGAATCCAGGAGGCAGAGGTTGTAGTGAGCCGAGATCGCGCCACTGCACTCCAGCGCAACAGGAGTGAAACTCCGTCTCAGAAAAAAACAAAAAAAGACTGAGTGTATGGGTGAAAACAGAAATCAACATATAACACAGCAGTGCCATAAAAAGTAGACACGCCAGTTTCTGTGATACTGTGCCTGAAGAGACAAAGTAATGCAGCTCCGTTGTCTCTACTTACTGAAGAACGAATGTCCAAGCAAACAGATTCAGCCAAGAAAAAACTATGTATTACTGACACCCTGGATAAAATCCGCTATATCTTCTACATTCAGAGCAGGATGCGTCTTTTATGTGGGACAAGGGTTACTTTAGTGGCTCTGTTTAAGATGCTCTGATCTTATGGTTTACAGCAAATGGAAACAGTGGCAGGAGTACAAGGAAAGGAACCAATTTCAATAACACATAATACGTGATAAGGCCAAGAAACTATTTAGAAAAGGACTAGGCATGCTTTGGAGGAAAGCATACAGTTGAACAACACAGGTTTGAACTGTGTGGATCAACTTATTAATGGATTTTCTTTCAATAAATATATTAAACATTTTTTGAAAATTTGTAACAATTTTTAAAAACTCAGATGAACCTATAGACTAGAAATGTCAAAAAAAATTAAGAAAAAGTATGCTGTGAATGCATAAAATAAATGTAGACACTAGTTTATCATTTATTACCATAAAATATGTGCAATTTTTAATTTTATAATAGAGTTATCAAAACTTACCCACACAAACAGACATTACATTGTGCCATTTGCAGTCAAGAGAAATTTATTCAAACATAAAGATATAGTATTAAATCATAACTGCATGGGCCAGGCGCGGTGGCTCACACCTGTAATCCCAGCACTTTGGGAGGCTGAGGCGGGTGGATCACCTGAGGTCAGGAGTTTGAGACCAGCCTGATCAACATGGCGAAACCCCATCTCCACTAAAAATACAAAAGGCGTCTGTAATCCCAGCTACTCGGGAGGCTGAACAAGCAGGAGAATCGCTTGAACCCAGGAGGCGGAGGTTGCAGTGAGCCAAGATTGCCCCATTATACTCTAGCCTGGCAACAAAAGTGAAACTCTGTCTCAAAAAAAAAAAAAAAAAAAAAGTCATAACTGCATAAAATTAACTGCAGTACATAATATACTACTATAATTTCTTAGCCACCTCCTGCTGCTATTGCAGTGAGCTCAAGAGTTGTGAGTATCTGCTTAAAATGCCATGTGACATTATTCATCTCTATGTGAGCAGTTCACCTCTCCAGTAAATTGCAAATCACAGTAAAAATTGATCTCTTGTGGTTCTTACATAATTTTCAACATGTTTAGTACAATACTACAAACCTTAAATAACACCACAGGACTAATACAAAGCGCCGTAACTGATGCTGGAAGTGCTCTCAAGAAGCAGGAAACAGTCATGACATTACAAGAAAAAGGTGAACTGCTTGATATATACCATAGGTTGGGGTCTGCAGCTGTGGCTACCTGCCATTTCAAGATACATGAATCCAGTGTAAGAACCATTGTAAAAAGAAAAAAAAAAAAAAGAAAGAAAAGGAAATTTGTGAAGCTGTTCCTGCAGCTATGCCAGTAGGCATGAAAACCTTGTGCTTTTTGCCAAATATCTTTTTTTTTCTTTCCTTGTCTTTTTGAGACAGGGTCTCAATTTGTCACCCAGGCTGGAGTGCAAAGGTGCAATCTTGGTTCACTGCAACCTCCGCCTCCTAGGTTCAAGCAATTCTCCTGCCTCAGCTGGGATTACAGGCACCCACCACCATGCCTGGCTAATTTTTATATTTTTAGTAGAGATGGGGTTTCACCGTGTTAACCAGGCTGGTCTCCAACTCCTGACCTCAAGTGATCCACCTACATCAGCCTCCCAAAGTGCTGGGATTATAGGTGTGAGCCACCGTGCACGGCCAACTTTTTATCTTGTATTGAAAATGCAGCTTTTACGTGCTGCAGGACTGCTTGTAAGAAAGGCATAGCTATAGACTAATATGATTCAAGAAAAAGCAGAGTTATGACAGCTTAAAGCAAAAGGACGGTAAAGTATCTGTGATGATTAATATTAGGTGTCAACTTGATTGGATCGAGGGATGCCTAGATAGCTGGTAAAGTATTGTTTCTAGGTGTGTCTGTGAAGGTGTTGCCAGAGGAGACTGACATTTGAGTCAGTGGACTCGGAGAGGAAGACCTACCCTTGATGTGGGTGGACACCATCCAATGGGCTGACAGTGCAGCTACAACAAAGCAGGCAGAAGAAAGTGGAATAAGCCAGCTTGCTGAGTCTCTTCTGG